AATAACGAAGATGAATGACACATAAACATATCTCCCCGAAGGATTTTTCCACTCGACGCCGACCAGAAAAATAAATAATAAGGGGAAAAAGTAATAGGAAACGAGTAAAAGGGAGCAAAAAGAAAAAGCGTCGTCGTGAGAAGGAGACGATCCGGAAATCCGTGAGATTAAAAAAGAAACTGCAAAAAGAAAGGTGAAATATCGCCGTAGGGTTTAAATCCACCACATCGTTGTAACCTTCATGTACTTACTTCGACCTACACTTTTATTTCAATGTTTTAAAGTTTTTATTTTAATTTTGCGCGAATTGATTTTTCAATTTTCTCGTTTCCTTTTCAAACGGCCCGCATTGGGGAACCTAATTCCCAGGAGGAAGTCGTCCGAATGTGTCTTACCGCAGGATGTAAAATCTGGGATTCCTTTCTTTGCGCGATGAACTCGTCCTCGCCCCCGTTGTGTTAGAAGTTTTTTTTTATCTCAGTTGGAAATAACCTACGAACCGCATCGATCTCTATTCATCTGAACCATTTATCGGAAATTCAAATTAGATCCTATTCCTCTCCTTTTGAAGAAAAGAAAGAGTTTTTTTTTCTAAAAACACGTACTTCTTAACGTTTAATAAGAAAAAACTATAGAACGTATTACTTATTTAAATAAAATATGGAAAATATATGTTAATTGAACTATAAACTAGAATAACTTGAATAATAAATAAAACTGCAAGCTGCTGTGCTAAACCTATGGTCACTAAAAACGGTGCATAATGATAGTTGCTAGAATAAAAGAAGAAGAAAAGGAAGAAGAAGTTCTCAGGAAGATACTTGGAGAGCAAATAAATTACGTTTTCGATGGTTTTTAAATGTCACAAAGTGAGGAATATTACGGATCTCAGTAGGCAGACTATTCCAAATGATTATCGCCTACATTGGAGGAAGGAAGCAACAAAGACTTTTCAGCGAGTGGAAACAATGATAGACCTTTCTGCAAACGGATTGAATTTGAGGTTTCCAGGACATTGTAGAATCCATAACCACCCCAATGTTTCTAACCGTGTCTGACAGCTGAATAATGTCTCCGTCAAGCATTAGGTGAATGGATGAAAAATCATTCAGCTTTGCCAGTAAAGGTCGACTGCCAAACGCAATTGCTTGAGTTTTAACAGTAGTTAATTTAAGGCCATAACGTTTAGACAAATCTCAAATTGCTTCCAAATCAATAGTTGTCGTAGTTTAAATTTGGAGATCATCAGCATACACATGATGATTACAAGAAATGCAATGGGTGACGGCATTAATAAAAATCGAAAAGAGCAACGGACCCAACACACTACCCTGGGGTACAGTGTTAGTTCTAATTTTAGTTCAATAAAAGTATACAACAATCTAGAACTAGAACTAAGACCAGCACTAGAACTAACACTAGACCTAGAACTAGAATCATTCGGGTTTAGCCGTGTGTCTTTTGAACCTTAATTAATTATAAGGTAGTTGTTAATCATTTAGACAAGTATTAAGCGATGGCCAATAAGTTTTTTATGATTTTGAATAACATGAGATAGCTATACCCATTTCTAATCATATTGGACAATTTTGCTACCTTATAAACCAATCTGAGCAAGTCGGACTTGTTATGAACTAGTCCTTATATATTTAGACAAGTTTTCAATTACTACCAACTAGTTCTCAGTCATTTTGAGCAACATGGATTGTTAACAAACTAGTTTTTGATCATTTAGACAAGTATTAAACGATGCGCAAATAGTATTCTATGATTTTGAACAACATGAGATAGCTATGAACCCATTTCTAATCATTTTGGACAATTTTGCTACTTTATAAACCAATTTTGGACAATGTTGGTGTAGTTTTCGGTAGTTCTGAGCAACTTGAACTTGCTATGAACTAGTCTTTATATATTTAGACAAGTATCAATTATTATCAATCAGTTTTTAATTATTTTTAGGAACATGGATTGTTAACAACCTAGTTTTTGATCATTTAGACAAGTATTAAACGATGCGCAAATAGTATTCTATGATTTTGAACAACATGAGATAGCTATGAACACATTTTTAATCATTTTGGACAATTTTGCTGCTTTATAAACCAATTTTGGGCAATGTTGGTGTAGTTTTCAGTAGTTCTGAGCAACTTGAACTTGCTATGAACTAGTCTTTATATATTTAGACAAGTTTTCAATTATGACCAACTAGTTCTCAGTCATTTTGAGCAACATGGATTGTTAACAAACTAGTTTTTGATCATTTAGACAAGTATTAAACGATCCGCAATCAGTATTCTATGATGTTGAACAACATGAGATAGCTATAAACCCATTTCCAATCATTTTGGACAATTTTGCTACCTTATAAACCAATTTTGTACATGTTGGTGCAGTTTTCAGTAGTTTTGAACATCTTGGACTTGCTATGGACTAGTCCTTATATATTTAGACAAGTTTTCAATTACTATCAGTTAGTTTTTAGTCATTTTGAATAACATGGGTCGTTTACAACCTAGTTATTAATCATTTAGACAAGTGTTAAACGATGCCCAATCACTTTTCTATGATTCTGAACAACATGAGATAGCTATGAACCCATTTCTAATCATTTTTAACAATTTAGCTACCTTATAAATCAATTTTGGACAATGTTGGTGCAGTTTTCAGTAGTTCTGAGTATCTTGGACTTGCTATAAACTAGTCCTTATATATTTAAACCAGTTTTCAATGACTATCAACTAGTTTTCAGGCATTTTGAGCAACATGAATCGTTTACAAACTAGTTGTTAATCATTTAGACAAGTATTAAACGATGCCTAATCAGTTTTCAATAATTTTGATCAACACGAGATAGCTATAAACCCATTTTTAATCATTTTGGACAATTTTGCTTTCTTATAACCCAATTTTGGACAATGTTGGTGTAGTTTTCAGTAGTTTTGAGCAACTTGGTCTTGCTATGAACTAGTCCTTATATATTTAGACAAGTTTTCAGTAACTATTAACTAGTTTTTAGTCATTTTGAGCAACATGGATCGTTTATAAACTAGTTGTCAATCATTTAGACAAGTATTAAACGATGCCTAATCAGTTTTCTATGATTCTGAACAACATGAGATAGCTATGAACCCATTTCTAATCATTTTGGATAATTTTGCTACTTTATAAACCAATTTTGGACAATGTTGGTGTAGTTTTCGGTAGTTCTGAGCAACTTGGACTTGCTATGAACTAGTCCTTATATATTTAGACAAGTTTTCAATTGCTATCAGTTAGTTTTCAGTCATTTTGAACAACATGGGTCGTTTACAACCTAGTTATTAATAATTTAGACAAGTATTAAACGATGCCTAATCAGTTTTCAATCATTTTGATCAACACGAAATAGCTATAAACTCATTTTTAATCATTTTGGACAATTTTGCTTTCTTTTAACCCAATTTTGGACAATGTTGGTGTAGTTTTCAGTAGTTCTGAGCATCTTGGACTTGCTATGAACTAGTCCTTATACATTTAGACAAGTTTTCAATAACTATTAACTAGTTTTTAGTCATTTTGAGCAACATGGATTGTTTACAAACTAGTTGGCAATCATTTAGACAAATATTAAACGATGCCCAATCAGTTTTTTATGAGTCTGAACAACATGAGATAGCTATGAACCCATTTCTAATCATTTTTAACAATTTATCTACCTTATAAATCAATTTTGGACAATGTTGGTGCAGTTTTCAGTAGTTCTGAGCAACTTGGACTTGCTATGAACTAGTCCTTATATATTTAGACAAGTTTTCAATTACTATCAGTTAGTTTTCAGTCATTTTGAACAACATGGGTCGTTTACAAACTAGTTGTTAATCATTTAGACACGTATTAAACGATGCCTAATCAGTTTTTAATAATTTTAATCAACACGAGATAGCTATAAACCCATTTTTAATCATTTTGGACAATTTTGCTACCTTATAAACCAATTTTGGACAATCTTGATGCAGTTTTCAGTAGTTCTGAGCATCTTGGACTTGCTATGAACTAGCCCTTATATATTTAGACAAGTTTTCAACGACTACCAACTAGGTTTTAGTCATTTTCCAAAAGTTACCATCCAATTTTGAATCATTCTGAACAATTTTGCGATGTTATAAATCTATTTTGTACATTTATGGGGGCAGTTTTAGGTCCAGTGTTAGTTCTTGTGCTAGTGTTAGATCTAGTTTTAGTTCTTATTCTGTTGTGCTCTTTATTAACTAAACAATGTGTATTGATCTAATCTGTATACTTTATTATTAATAGTATTGTATAAGTCGTGTTACCACTAGAACTATTTGAGTGTTTCTTGTCAACCCAGGATTGCCAACATGTTAGTTAACTTCGCCACTGTCTTTTTCAATGCTTGGATATCGTTATTATCAATAAACTTAAATCTTGGTTTCTTCTCTACTCTCTGTTATAGTCTCTTACAATGTAAGATCTAGGGATCTCAGCATTAGCAGTCACTTTTTGTGCAACCCATTCTTGTCAGTTCTTATAGTTATGTTGTCTTCAGGATTAAAGCTTTTCCTGCTCTTTAATCCTCTATCATAGGATTCTTCCATTTTTATGAGTCGGTTTTCTATTACTTTATTAATATCTTCATTTCAGATTTTCTAAATCGGTTGGAATGGTGATAAATTCAATTCTGGTATTGGCATCACTCTATAAAATTTTTTTACATATTCCTACAGCCTTCTCAGCAAGACCATTCGAGTTATGGTATCTAGAACTAGATATAGTGTCATATATTCCATTTCTTAGTAAAACTTTTAAGTCCTAGAACCAGTATAAGTGTTAATTCTAGTATTAGTTGTTATTCAACACTACCTTACTTTTACTATTGAATCATAGATGTCGCTACCCAAAAACATTTAATTTGTCATTTAAAAAATTTCAAAAGAAAATGAGACATTTTTATTTACAAATAAAATCAAATTACATATCTACAAATGAAAATTAAAGAATCTCAACGTATTATCTATTAACTTTTATATTTACATAGTAAACTATAACGTTATTTAGTAATACATAAATTATTTACAAATTAACATTATATATCTTCTCCATTTTAAATTTTCTTTTTGGATACAACAATATAATAATTAAAAAAAAAAAAATCATATCACATTTTTACAAAAATATTTATTAATACCTAAACTCTTCTTCAATAAATCTTGTTAATTAAAATCAAGTTATTTTCTTGATCTCAATCTCTTCAAAACGAGTCGAAAGCTCCCCCAGTTAATTTTGTTGCGTATAAATTTATTACCTAAAAAACATTTCAAATGTTGTTTAAACAAATTAATAAAATTGAAATATTTTACTTTGTAAATGAATGAGTATTGGTCCTTGGTCTGAACGGAACTCGCCCTATCCCTTCGAATTTTATACACAATTTTAGGAATATCCACCTGTCTGGATTGTTCAAACTCTCTTATCGCTATATCACATGATATCACCGTTCCCGTTCGACCAGTTCCCGGGCTACAATGAACAATAACCGGGGGATTTCTTGGAATTGTTCCTTGTATAAAACTTGTATTTGCTTCTCTTGCCTAAAAAAAAATCAAAAATTAATATATCATTAATAGATTTTGAGAAAATGTGATTACTTTAATTTCATTGGCTTTCATATAACTTCGAGCTTCAATTAAAAATCGAATTAGAGAGTTTGCTTCGTCTGGAACTCCTTTATGGGGCCATTCGATGTACCAAATATGAGTTACTTCCCTCCAACTATTTGAAACCATATTCTAAAAAAAATTTTTGTTTAATAAAAATATACAACACCTTAGTGCTGAGTAATAATTATAACATAATTAACATTATCTCTAGAATATATATAAGATACAATTTGAGAGATTCTAGCTCCCTGCTTGCAAATGACCTTGACAATTCAAGAATAAATGTGTTCTTGTAAGAGACTTTGTATCTTTACAAAGATATAAGACACGATTTAGTCTCAAATCGTTAGTATTTGAAGATTTAGCGCCTCGCCCGCAAGCGACCTCGGAGATTTGAGAGTAAATATGTACTTATAAGGGACTTTGTATCTATACAAAGATATAAAACACGAAATTGCCGAGGTCGCTTGCGGGCGAGGTGCTGCATTTGATATATGAGCACAAAATCGTCAGTTTTGGAAGATTTACCGCCTCGCCCGCAAGCGACCTCGGCTATTTGAGAATAAATATTTTCTCATAAAAGACTTTATATCTTTACAAAGAGATGTAAGAAACGATTTCGCTTCTAATCGCCGAGGTCGCTTGCGGGCGAGGCGCTGGATTTGATATATTATTAACTTTCAAAGATTATAGCGCCTCGCCCGCAAACGACCTTGACGAATGTTCTTATAAGAGACATAATCGGCTATGAAATTGTACGTCAAACTTGACAAATAGGTTATAAAGTTATTTGACGACAAACTTTTATAACCTATTTGTCAAGTTTGACGTACAATTTTACGCAATTTTTTTTTTTTTGAATTTTCGATGATTTTAAGTAGCATTAAGGTGGCGATTCGAACCTCTTGGGTTCGTAAAATTGATAAAACAATCGGTTTAGTTTCGCCAATGATTAAGAGATGTCGCACTATACTCTGTATCAACTAAAGTCCCTAGATTTACAAAGTCTGATGAAGCCTGTTTTCGAGCCAAAATGTCGGTTTGACAGCTTTTCACTCATCTCATAACTTATTTACAAAAATATTGCCGTCTTGTTGCCTTTGGAGTTGCAAAAATGGCAGTAAGAAGGATTTTCGACTGTTCAGAGTATCACGAGAAAAAAGGAAGGAAATTTGGTTTGTAGTTTTAAATTTCCCGCTTAACTTTCGAGCCAAAATAGCGTCAAACCGCGGTACTTTGTAAATCTAGGGACTTTACATTTCAACGATATTCATGCATTTTTATTTTTCGTACCTATCTACATAAAATGAATCAAAAAAATTGAAGGAAAAGATTTAAATATACAGGTGTCCAATTAGTGCGATATCGGACGATATCTCCTTACAGGGTGTCGCTAGAAGAAAATCAAGTTATTTATAGGACAATAGGTATAGCACATGCTTTATAAAAAAAGAAACCTTATTACTTGGCGAATAATTTAAGATAAAAAAATATGAGGCATTCCATTAAAAAAAAAATGAGATATAGCTATTTCAAGTTTCTGGTATTGAATACAATATTACGAACATCCTGTAGAAGGTTACCAGATTTTTATAGGGGCATGAAGTTACTGTAACTATGCATTAATAATCTACAAAAGATTTGCTTTGTAGGGTCTTAAATAAATTGGGTACGCTATCTTTTATAGACACGTACAGACGGAGATTTTTTCACAAAATGTTGAATATTTCAAAAACGGTAAAATTTTGGTATAGGTAATGCTTAACAAAAAGTATGTCGAATTTTAAGGGTAATTCAAAAATGTAATAAAATATGGGGTGTTCCATTTAAATTTACGAAGTTGTACCTTGTACTTTGTTTTTGCAACAGCCTGTATAAACAAAAATATTTTTAGGTTATGCACCTTCGAGCACCAAACAACTTTATATACAGTATGTCCCCGGATCGAGTTACAAAGAGAAAAAAAAATTATTACTGATTTTTCAAACTTATCTCAGCATAAATAATGCGTCGGATATCTTCAAAGCACTAAATTGCACGAATTTTATATTCTAACTATAGAAGTTAACTAATTAACCCCATTTGTATGTAAAAATTATACTTTTCCTAAATTAAAAATTTTTCAAGTTCAATTTACGATATGTAACCATAGAAACCATAAAAGTTACAACTTATGTTAGTGAAAAATATAAGGACAAATCAAATTAAAATATGGCTAATTGAATAAAATATTTTAAATGTAAATTTATGTAATAACACACTATGTAAGTAATTAAGTGAACAAATCGTCATTCAAACAAATGCCCTCCTAATTTGGCACACATTTGAAGACGAGTTCTAAATTCTTTATAAGAATTACGAATTTCCGCCAGTGGTAGAGATTCTATCGCATTAATTATTCTTAGTTTTAATAGTTCTGCATCATCTTGTAATGGTTCACTGTAAACAATTTGTTTGAATCGTCCCCAAAAATAAAAATCCATAATTGTAAGATCAGGACTAAGTGTTGGCCATCAAACGATCATTTTGTCCAATCCATTTTTGACGAAATTGTAAATTTAACCATTTGGCACAATGTGTGTATGGTAAGCTAGGCAACTGTCTTGCTGAAAGTACATTGACCGTATAAAATTTAAGGGTAATTGGATTTACATCATTCCAATAACGACATTGCTGGGAAGAAACAATGTTATTTGTTGAAAAGCTATCTGAAAAGCAGCGTCTTCCTCATTTAGTCTCTTTATGGATCATACAGAACCCGTTTCCAAAAATTTTTTCATAAGTTTGCGAGCCCCAACATGAGATATTTTGTGTCCGGATATTTTAGCTGGAATTTTTGCATAACTACACGAAAACATGATTCACTAGTACCATAGCACAGTACTAAATAAATTCTCTCTTTCACAGTTAACATCGCATGAAAAGACTTAATTTCACCAACATAAGTTGTAACTTTTATGGTTTCTATGGTTACATATCATAAACTGAACTTGAAATATTCGAATTTTTACATAAAAATTGGAATAATTAGTTAATTTTTATAGTTAGAGTATAAAATTCATGCGATTTAGTGATTTGTAGATATCCGACGCATTATTTATGCTGAGATAAGTTTGAAAAATCAGTAACAAAAATTTTTTTCCTCTTTGTAATTCGATCCGGGGACATACTGTATAAACATTTTCTTCTAGCGACACCCTGTAAGGAGATATAGTCCGATATCGCACTAATTGGACACCTGTATAAAACACGATTTAGTCTCAAATCGCCGAGGTCGCTTGCAGACGCTGGATTTGATATACAGTGTGCGCCAAAAAGTCAGCAACAACCGTTTTATTTCTGTTCCATTGCATCAACGTTTCTGACATTTAGCTTATATGGGAGGTTCATACCGATCTTTCGATCTAAAGTATTTTCAAGATGGTGGCCACTTCCGGTGCCCCGGAAGTAGACCTCAACTTCGTTATTTTAAATCGAAGCTATAGTTTTTATTGCACCTTTTAATTGTATGCGAAAAAATATGTTGACTAAAAGAATAAAAGATAAAATGTCAATTTTTGGCTCAACTTTGACAGCTCATAGCTCGAAAACAAAAGAATTGCGACCCGATGTGTATATAAAAAACTTGTGTTATTTTGGCAAGTACTACGTCCTAGTAAAGTTTTCCGATTAAAAACTGAACCACCCTGTATAAGATACAATTTAGTCTCAAATAGCCGAGGTCGCTTGTGGGCGAGGCGCTGGAATTGATATATTAATTTTGAAAGATTCTAGCACCTCGTCCGCAAACGACCTTGAGGATTCAAGTGTAAATGTGTTCTTGTAAGATACTTTACAAACATATAAGACTCGATTTAGTCTCAAATTGTCGAGGTCGCTTGCGAGATTTGAGAGTAAATATCTTCCTATAAGAGACTTTGTATCTTTACCAACATTTATATATAAACGATTTCAGCTCAAATCGCCGAGGTCGCTTGCGGGCGAGGCGCTGGATCTGATATATTAACTTTGAAAGATACTAGCGCCTCGCCTGCAAATGACCTTGAGGATTCAAGTGTGAATGTGTTTTTACAAAGATACATAAGAAACGATTTCGCTTCAAATCACCGAGGCGTTGAATTTGATATATCAAAACAAAATCGTCAATTCTGGAAGATTTCATTTGAGTTTAGCCATTTTGAGAGACACAGGGCTAAACCCAAATATTTTTAGTTCTAATGTTAGTTCAAATGATAATAAAAATCTTTATACTTATAAGGATTTAAATATTTACCTTTAATTGTAAACTGGATATGATATATTTATCGCGAACTTCGCGTTTTTTTAATGTTACTTGGAAATCCCCGAAAAGTCGATTGCAATCTAAAACTTCTGAAGGTGGTAAATAATCTGAACATTTCTCCTAAAACAATCACATTGAAAAAAAAATTACTAATTTTTTTTTTCTTCATACAGCTCCTTGCTCATATAAATGAGTTAACATCAAAATAACTTTAGATTCTTGTTCCCAAATCATTCTCCAAAAATCGGCGATTGTTGATTGTAAAGGAGCTTGACAAGCTATGTAATATCTCCGTTCACTTTTAGCACCCTACAAAAAAAAACAATTAATTACACAATTTTTAATTTATTTATTTTTTAAATACTCACAGTGACATAATTTGCGTTAATATAATCGGAAGTTGGATCGCTTTCGAGAGTTTTCAAAAAAACTCGCGTTTCCGGTAAGGGAATAACGTTGGCGTATCTATTTTTTACTTCGCATCCTTCGGGTAATTCGCTGGTTTTTGCTTGAACTTGAGGGATCGTTTCAAATTCCGCGTGAATTTCTTCGGTATTGCTAGCAAATTTTACTAATTCGGAGAAGTTTAATGGATGTGATGGTGAATTCGGATCATCAAATGCAGCATTTCCATAAGCACGTTTTGAAGTCATCAGAACACCTTTTCTTCTAGTACTATTATGAATGGAGACGTTGTCCATGCTGTAGGCGTCTAAACTTACTGGACGACATCTTTGGCCGTAATTAAATCGTTTTTGTCTTTTTCTCATAACAACCTAAAATATAAATTTCAAAGATTAGCAATAAATAATATCATTTAAAAATCATAAACCTCGATATAACGAACTTTGAATATAACGGACAAAAATTTTTAAGTCATACTATTAATTTTATAGCCATGCCGAGGCAGCTATGCTGCCGAGGCAGTAGTTTCATAGTACTTAAAATTAAGTAAAACTTCTTTTAATACAAATGCTTTATTTTAAAGCCGAGGCAGAGGTTCTAATACCTAAAATTAAGTAAAATTCGTTTTAATACAAATGCATTACTTAAAAGCCGAGGCAGCTATGCTGCCGAGGCAGTGGTTCTAGTAATTAAAATTTACTAACATTCTTATTAATATTAATGTATTACTTAAAAGCCGAGGCAGTGGTTCTAATAATTAAAATTAAGTAAAACTCCTTTTTAATACAGGTGCATTAATAAAAGCCGAGGCAGTGGTGCTAGTACTTAAAATTTACTAAAATTCTTTTTAATACAAGTGTATTATTTAAAAACCTAGGCAGCCTTGCTGCCGAGGCAGTGGTACTAGTGATTAAAATTAAGTAAAACTCCTTTTTAATACAAATGCATTACTTAAAAGCCGAGGCAGTGGTACTAGTACTTAAAATTTACTAAAATTCTTTTTTGTACAAATGTATTACTTAAAAGCCGAGGCAGTGGTTCTAGTAATTAAAATTAAGTAAAATTCCTTTTTAATACAAATGCATTACTTAAAAGCCGAGGCGGTGGTACTAGTACTTAAAATTTACTAAAATTCTTTTTTATACAAATGTATTACTTAAAAGCCGAGGTAGCTATGCTGCCGAGGCAGTGGTTCTGGTAATTAAAATTAAGTAAAACTCCTTTTTAATACAAATGCATTACTTAAAAGCCGAGGCAGTGGTGCTAGTACTTAAAATTTACTAAAATTCTTTTTAATACAAGTGTATTATTTAAAAACCGAGGTAGCCTTGCTGCCGAGGCAGTGGTACTAGTGATTAAAATTAAGTAAAACTCCTTTTTAATACAAATGCATTACTTAAAAGCCGAGGCAGTGGTACTAGTACTTAAAATTTACTAAAATTCTTTTTTGTAGAAATGTATTACTTAAAAGCCGAGGCAGCTATGCTGCCGAGGCAGTGGTTGTAGTACTTAAAGTTAAGTAAAACTCTTTTTAATAGAAATGTATTGCTTAAAAGCCGAGGCAGTGGTTCTAGTACTTAAAATAAAGTGATGTTTTCTTTAATACAAATGCATTACTTAAAAGCCGAGGCAGCTATGCTGCCGAGGCAGTGGTTGTAGTACTTAAAGTTAAGTAAAACTCTTTTTAATAGAAATGTATTGCTTAAAAGCCGAGGCAGTGGTTCTAGTACTTAAAATAAAGTGATGTTTTCTTTAATACAAATGCATTACTTAAAATCTGAGGCAGCTATGCTGCCGAGGCAGTGGTTCTAGTACATAAAATAAAGCAAAACTTCATTTAATACAATTGTATTACTTAGAACCCGAGGCAATGGTTCTAGTACTTAAAATTAAGTCAAATTTAAGTGTTTTATGGAAATATAACATATGTTTTCGAAATTTTCCTCTTTATTTACTTCGATGTGTCCTAATTTTTCAAAACAAAATTGATATTATAAATATATCTATTATTTTGTTTCTTGTTTTCTGATTTTTGTAATGTAAAATAAAAATTAAAAAAAAAAAAACGAGAGCAAATCTTACAAAATCATTGATTGAGCCTATGTATTATTTTTTTTTGTGATCAAACTAACAATTTTAGGAAAAAATGTCAAGAGACAAAAAAGATCCGTATTGAATCTCGCTATTTAAATCAGGTTTTTAACCCTTTCGTTACGGAGTACTTTCAAGATCATTTAGCAAGCCCATATATACAAAAACGTATGCGTACGCTCTTAGTAACGAAAGGGTTAAATAGAAAAATATAGGCGCATTAAAAAGTTCTAATGCAACGTATTATAGGAGTTGATTTTTGCTGAAAAAATCACACTTTGAAATCTTTCGCATCAATTTAGAAACACCTGTATATATATATCTCAGTAAATATTGACATTATAAAAAAACTTTTTCTATAAAAGTTGTTTAACATTTTATTACAAATTAAGTTAAAAAGCTCGATATTTTCATAGAAATCAAAGAGAACCTAAACACTTCAACTTGGATATACAGGGTGTATCTGAATGACTGCAACAAACTTCAAGGGGTGATTCTTTAGTGAATTACTAAAGAATCACCCCAGTACTTAATCAAAGTACCCTCCATTACTTAATGAAGGGTACTTTGATATATGAACCATGGGCGACTTCGGCTCCCCTTTTCAAATTAATTTTTAAATAAAGTTCGCATTTGCGCTCGTTCACTCGACGTTTTAAAATTTTAAATAAAACAATAATAATAGTAAGAAAACCACTGACATTTAAACGTCAAAAATATTTCTGACAAAGATTGCAAAGCCTACTAAGATTTTTTCATTAAAAATTCGTTCCAACTTTCGATTAACAACTCTACAGCTTAACAGTTAGTGTTTGCTTAATTATTTTTTTTCTCGGAAATTATTAAGTTTTAGAAGAACATCAGAGAGACATAAAAGTTTTATGGCCGGTTTCTCGTACGAAAATGCATGTCGATATCGAACCGATATCGCGCTGTTGATCGATAACTATGGCGATATCGGTCATTTGGGTTTCTAAAAGGATCGATAGGAGATATCGGATCGATAACTATATCGCATACAACAAGCCGATATCGACTNTAAAATTCTTTTTTGTACAAATGTATTACTTAAAAGCCGAGGCAGCTATGCTGCCGAGGCAGTGGTTCTAGTAATTAAAATTAAGTAAAATTCCTTTATAATACAAATGCATTACTTAAAAGCCGAGGCGGTGGTACTAGTACCTAAAATTTACTAAAATTCTTTTTAATACAAATGTATTACTTAAAAGCCTAGGTAGCTATGCTGCCGAGGCAGTAGTTCTAGTAATTAAAATTAAGTAAAACTCCTTTTTAATACAAAAATGCATTACTTAAAAGCCGAGGCAGTGGTACTAGTACTTAAAATTTACTAAAATTCTTTTTAGTACAAATGTATTACTTAAAAGCCTAGGTAGCTATGCTGCCGAGGCAGTGGTTCTAGTAATTAAAATTAAGTAAAACTCCTTTTTAATACAAAAATGCATTACCTAAAAGCCGAGGCAGTGGTACTAGTACTTAAAATTTACTAAAATTCTTTTTAATACAAATGTATTACTTAAAAGCCGAGGCAGCTATGCTGCCGAGGTAGTGGTTCTAGTAATTAAAATTAAGTAAAACTCCTTTTTAATACAAATGCATTACTTAAAAGCCGAGGCAGTGGTACTAGTACTTAAAATTTACTAAAATTCTTTTTAGTACAAGTGTATTACTTAAAAGCCGAGGCAGTTATGCTGCCGAGGCAGTGGTTCTAGTAATTAAAATTAAGTAAAACTCCTTTTTAATACAGGTGCATTACTTAAAAGCCGAGGCGGTGGTACTAGTACTTAAAATTTACTAAAATTCTTTTTTGTACAAATGTATTACTTAAAAGCCGAGGTAGTGGTTCTAATAATTAAAATTAAGTAAAACTCTTTTTTAATACAAATGCATTACTTAAAAGCCGAGGCAGTGGTACTAGTCCTTAAAATTTACTAAAATTCTTTTTAGTACAAATGTATTACTTAAAAGCCGAGGCAGTGGTTCTAGTAATTAAAATTAAGTAAAACTCCATTTTAATACAAATGCATTACTTAAAAGCCGAGGCAGTGGTACTATAACTTAAAATTTACTAAAATTCTTTTTAGTACAAATGTATTACTTAAAAGCCGAGGCAGTGGTTCTAGTAATTAAAATTAAGTAAAACTCCTTTTTAATACAAATGCATTACTTTAAAGCCGAGGCAGTGGTACTAGTACTTAAAATTTACTAAAATTCTTTTTAATACAAATGTATTACTTAAAAGCCGAGGCAGCCTTGCTGCCGAGGCAGTGGTTCTAGTACTTAAACTAAAGCAAAACGTCTTTGAATACAATTGTATTAATTAGAACTCGAGGCAGTGGTTCTAGTACTCAAAATAAAGTGAAGTTTTCTTTAATACAAATGCATTACTTAAAAGCCGAGGCAATGGTTCTAGTACTTAAAATAAAGCAAAACTTCTTTTAATACAATTGTATTAATTAGAACTCGAGGCAATGGTTCTAGTACTTAAAGTTAAGTAAAACTCCTTTTAATAGAAATGTGTTGCTTAAAAGCCGAGGCAGTGGTTTTAGTACTTAAACGTCTAAACGTAGTTTAAAGCAAAACGTCTTTGAATACAATTGTATTAATTAGAACTCGAGGCAGTGGTTCTAGTACTCAAAATTAAGTAAAATTTCTTTTAATACAAATGTATCAGCTAGAAGCCGAGGCAACTATGCTGCCGAGGCAGTGGTTGTAGTACTTAAAGTTAAGTAAAACTCTTTTTAATAGAAATGTATTGCTTAAAAGCCGAGGCAGTGGTTCTAGTACTTAAAATAAAGTGATGTTTTCTTTAATACAAATGCATTACTTAAAATCTGAGGCAGCTATGCTGCCGAGGCAGTGGTTCTAGTACATAAAATAAAGCAAAACTTCATTTAATACAATTGTATTACTTAGAACCCGAGGCAATGGTTCTAGTACTTAAAATTAAGTCAAATTTAAGTGTTTTATGGAAATATAACATATGTTTTCGAAATTTTCCTCTTTATTTACTTCGATGTGTCCTAATTTTTCAAAACAAAATTGATATTATAAATATATCTATTATTTTGTTTCTTGTTTTCTGATTTTTGTAATGTAAAATAAAAATTAAAAAAAAAAAAACGAGAGCAAATCTTACAAAATCATTGATTGAGCCTATGTATTATTTTTTTTTGTGATCAAACTAACAATTTTAGGAAAAAATGTCAAGAGACAAAAAAGATCCGTATTGAATCTCGCTATTTAAATCAGGTTTTTAACCCTTTCGTTACGGAGTACTTTCAAGATCATTTAGCAAGCCCATATATACAAAAACGTATGCGTACGCTCTTAGTAACGAAAGGGTTAAATAGAAAAATATAGGCGCATTAAAAAGTTCTAATGCAACGTATTATAGGAGTTGATTTTTGCTGAAAAAATCACACTTTGAAATCTTTCGCATCAATTTAGAAACACCTGTATATATATATCTCAGTAAATATTGACATTATAAAAAAACTTTTTCTATAAAAGTTGTTTAACATTTTATTACAAATTAAGTTAAAAAGCTCGATATTTTCATAGAAATCGAAGAGAAGCTAAACACTTCAACTTGGATATATAGTTTAATGTTAAACACCTGTATATATATATCTCAGTAAATATTGACTTCATAAAAAAACTTTTTCTATAAAAGCTGTTTAACATTTTATTACAAATTAAGTTAAAAAGCTCGAAAAGTTTCATTCCTTAAATACCAAAACTTTCTTTTAAAACAATTTTTAAAGCTAATGACACAAAACTGATTGATTTTACGTTAGGTCGAGATTAAAACTTTGTATCTTCGGATTGAAAAGTGGTGGAGAGTTCTAATTTTCACCAAAAGAAAGAGTAATTCTTGCTTTATAACCTCAAAAAGTTGCATTCCTTAAATACCAAAACTTTCTTCTAAAACAATTTTTGAAGCTAATTACACAAAACTGATTGATTTTACGTTAAGTCGAGATTAAAACTTTGTATCTTCGGATTGAAAAGTGGTGGAGAGTTCTAATTTTCACCAAAAGAAAGAGTAATTCTTGCTTTATAACCTCAAAAAGTTTCATTCCTTAAATACCAAAACTTTCTTCTAAANATATATATCTCAGTAAATATTGAGTTTATAAAAAAACTTTTTCTATAAAAGTTGTTTAACATTTTATTACAAACTAAGTTAAAAAGCTCGATATTTTCAGAGAAATCGAAGAAAAGCTAAGCACTTCAACTTGGATATATAGTTTAATGTTAAACACCTGTATATATATATATCTCAGTAAATATTGAGTTTATAAAAAAACTTTTTCTATAAAAGTTGTTTAACATTTTATTACAAATTAACTTAAAAAGCTCGATATTTTCAGAGAAATCGAAGAAAAGCTAAGCACTTCAACTTGGATATATAGTTTAATGTTAAACACCTGTATATATATATCTCAGTAAATATTGACTTTATAAAAAAACTTTTTCTATAAAAGTTGTTTAACATTTTATTACAAATTAAGTTAAAAAATTCGAAAAGTTTCATTCCTTAAATACCAAAACTTTCTTCTAAAACAATTTTTAAAGCTAATGACACAAAACTGATTGATTTTACGTTAAGTCGAGATTAAAACTTTGTATCTTCGGATTGAAAAGTGGTGGAGAGTTCTAATTTTCACCAAAAGAAAGAGTAATTTTTGCTTTAAACCTTTGTCTATAAAAGTTGTTTAACATTTTATTACAAATTAAGTTAAAAAGCTCGATATTTTCATAGAAATCGAAGAGAAGCTAAACACTTCAAGTTGGATATATAGTTTAATGTTAAACAACTTGTATATATATAAAAAGGTTTTTTTTATAAAGTCGATAATTACCACTATATTCACTATATAATGGGATTATTTATTTATTGAATACTCACCAACAATCCAACCAAAAGCAACAAACAAACCGCCCCAACCGTCGAAATAACAATAGCAGCAATTTTCCCCCCATTTCCTTCATCATCCTCCTCTTCACCACCAACTAACCCAGCCGGAGTTGTAGTAACCTCAACCTCAATCGGTTCCATCTCAGTCGTAACATTAACAAACCTCGGTTTACTCTCAACATTATTATTTTCATCAACCTCCCGCGAAATAGTCGTCGTCTTTAACACACTTTTCGTCGGCTTTACCGTTATTTTCGCATCAAGGGGAATCACCGCCGGTTTATCACCATCCTCCTCATGTTCATTATTATTTTCATCATCATCCGGATCCTCATAATCTTCAACCGGCGTCGATTTTATCTCATTTTGCTTGATTATATCAAAATTAAATCGCGACAAATTCTTTTCGGTCGAAATCGAATTCGTTTTAACCTCGTTACTTTCAGTCGAAGTTAAAGTTACATTTAAATTAGACGATTGAGTTGTTATCTTTAAAATTTCATTGGCAACATTTGAATTTGTCTCGTTCTTTTTAATTTCGTTCCGTTTCGGTTTTTCGGTCGCGTCGAAAAATTCGATTTTCGAAAAATCTTTTTCGATTAAATTTAATTTATCCGTTGTTACCTCGTAGAATGTGGTTGCGTTGTTTTCTTCGTAATCGTCGTCGTCGTATTTAATCGTTGTTGTTATGGTGGTGGTGGTGGTGCCTGGGGGAATTTCGGTTGAATTCGTTAATATGTCTATGTAAAGATCAACAATGTTCGTATTCGTTTCATCAAAACTACCGAATGTTGTTGTTTCGATTAAATCGTTTTGAGTTGATTCTTCTTGAGTTAATTTATTAATTTCTTGGGTTGTTGTTTCTTGGGGAATCGTTTCTTGATCGTTCAAAGTTGTTTCATCAATTTTTAATACATCATTTGTTGTTTCTTCTTGATTTATAGTCTCAGTTGTTGATTTTTCATTCATTTCTGTTGTTGAATCTTCACCGATTGTCGTTAAATCATCAATTTTTTTTGATTCATCATGGATGATCGTAGAATCATTTGCTGTTGCAGTGCCATCTATTAGTAAAATAATAAAATGAAAAAAAAGAAATCAATAGTACCGATATAATATATTATAGTTGTTATAAGAGGTTATGTCGAATTGTAGGTGTAAAATAAAGCGGTTAAAGTATGTGGTGCATAAGTAGATAAAGTTGAATCGAAGAAAAGTGTTATTAAAACAAAAAAGTGATTAAAATGGATAAAAAAAGGTTCGTATCGAACACAGACGGTGGAAAGGAAGGTGAAGAGGTTACGTTGGACGCAACTGGTGAATTTAATATTAACATCCAGTGAGAAAAACTACTTTTGCAGCAGGAACGTGAATTTGTTGAAGAAGGAAAGAGAATTATTTCAAAGAGAACGAAGATTAGACAATGCAGACGGCGCTAGAACTTCGGTACATTACCATAACACAATGCAGCAGGTTATTTCGGATTTTAATCCAGGTAAATATTAGCGATTTGTGAAAGGATTATAATAAAGAGTTGTTTAGTCATTCAGAGGAGTATGTTTAAATAGTTAACATATCAGAAGTGGGATAGGGAAAAGTTCTACTGTGAAGTGTCCAAAAGTCTGGATCTACTGTGAAGTGAAGTGCCCAAAAGTCTGGATCTACTATGAAGTGCCCAAAAGTCTGGATCTACTGTGAAGTGATGTGCCCAAATATCTGGATTTACAGTGAAGTGCCCAAAAGTCTGGATCTATTGTGAAGTGTCCAAAAGTCTGGAACTACTGTGAAGTGAAGTACCAAAATGTCTAGATCTACTGTGAAGTGATTTATTAACTATTTTGAGTTGCTGCCAAACAACACCGAACCAAATAAAGCAGAAACAGGAGGTTTTCGTTTTAATTTAAACGAAGCAGAAATTTCGACCATGACGGAAAGTCCAACTAGAGAAGACGGCGGAAATATGCAGAACGTGTTGATCGCACTGACCGAATGTTTGCGAGAAATGCGAGCAGAAACTAATATCACAAAGGCCGAACTTGTAAGTAATAAGCCAGAACAGTTCCAAATAACGCCTGACTTAAATAAAACCATTTCAACGTGTGATGGAGATGTTGATTTGCTGTGCGCCGCAGAATGGATACAAGGTATCGAAAATAGTGCTTCGATGTATAAGCGGCCGTTATCTATTAAAATCGAAACGGCGAGAAACACATACTGGTGGTCGTGGACGCGTTGACTAAAGACGTTTCGACAATTCGCGTATTGAAAAAGTTCATTGATCAATTCGGGATTCCGGATCAAATTATTACGAGAAAACGAACAAGCTTTAAGAAAACTTATTCAAGATTATGAGAGTTGCTTTGCAAGTTGTTTTGGTGAAATAGGACTAATCAACAAACTGGATATTGACATAGAATTAACGTCAAATGATGTGGTGAGATCTAGACCGTATAGACTACCATATGCTCAACGAGAAATTGTGAAAAAGACTGTAAATGAACTAATTGATGCCGAAATAGTGTACGAATCGCAATCGGAGTATGCGAGTCCAGTCGTATTAGTTAGTAAGCGAGCCAGAGGTGAGAGAACGTGTATTGACTATAGACGGTACCAAAAAGGAGTGTGTACCGTACATATTTTTAGACGAACAGTTCCGATGGACAATATGAATTTAATCGTATGCCGATTAATGAAAACTGTATTGGATGATTGGGAGTAATACAATCAATGACGGGCTTGAAAAACTAAAACGAGTGTTAAATGTACTGCGCGAAGAAGGACTTACGTTGAACTTGAAAAAGTGTCGATTTCTTTTAAAACGTGTAGAATGTCTTGGTTTCGAGATAGATGAAAATGGTGTGAGACCAGGTAAACGGAAAGTGGAAGCGGTTCAAGACTTTGGACAGCCAATGAATGCACGTCGATTCTTGGGATTGGCTGGTTTCTTCCGCAAATTCATAAAGAAGTACTCTTTGATTGTTAATTAAACTTTAAGAAAAGTTAACTTTACTGACGAGAAAGGATGCTATATGGACTTGGAGCGGAGACCAAGAGAGTGCATTTCAGCAAGTGAAAAGAGAGTTGTCTATATATTAACCTATATTAACGATATAGAACTCTGAAGGAAGTCTAGAAATTCATACGGATGCTTGTAAAATTGGCATCGCAGGAATATTACTTCAGAAACTACCAGGTGTAGACATGAAACCATTGGCTTACTTCAGTCGTCAGACAACTGATTTAGAAAGCCGTTATTATAGTTATGAATTTGAAGTTTTGGTCGTTACTGAGACATTAGAACGTTTCCGAATGTATCTACTAGGACGTAAATTTAAAGTAGTGAGTGATTGCAATTCCTTAAAGACAGTAATGAAAAAGAAAGACTTGATACCTCGAATTGGACGATGGGTGTTAAAATTGCAAGAATTTGACTTTGATATTAAGTATAAGTGTTGACTCACATAATGAAAATGTTGACTCAGAATATCAAGAATTTCAACCGAAGAGCGACAAAGACCACTCTTCTCATGGACTTCTCACCATTTTATGCTAAGCATTCATCCTTTTGATGCATCGCATTGGGGCATTGACATTATAAACTTAATAGTGCAAGGAACAAATGCATACTATACAAAAGTTGTAGAAAGTGGTAGACTTAAACCGAATTCGCGACTTCAAAACTGGAATAATGTAAATGAAAACGAGGTGTACTTATTCATAACAGTGTCAATGCTGATGACAAGGATGAAGAAACTGAAAATAAGTGAATATTGGAGTCGTACTGCCCTTATACCCATTTCAATATTTGCCACATTGATGTCGAGAAATCGTTATATGTGCATTTTATCGATGTTGCACTTTTGCATGCCAGCCGAAGAGAAGAAGGCCAACAAACTTAGAAAAATTCAATCATTTCTCGACAATATAAGAAGAAACTGTAAAGAAACTTTTTACCCGTTTGAAAAACTGTGTATTGAAGAATCTGTAGTTGAGTTCTTCTAAGCTTCAAGCAATATATCACTAGCAAACGCCATAGGTTTGGTATAAAACTTTTATTGTTGTGTTATTCCGAAACGGACTATGTTTCAGATATCCACGAAATTCCCGATTTAGGAATATCTGAAAGTGTGGTCACAACGCTTTTGGAACCATATAGGAAAAGGCCATAAATTATACGTTGACAACTGGTACACTAGTCCAATATTATTTGACACACTTCACCAACAAAAAACCAATGCTTGTGGTACAATAAAAAAGAACAGGAAAGGAATGCCAACATTTCGAAAGAAAAAAATAAAAAAAAGGCGAAACTGAGAGCTTCTGTACGGAAACTATGTTGAACATCAAATAGAAAGACAAGTGGGAAGTACTAATGCTGACGACAATGCATGAGGACACTATGGTTGATACGGGGAAAGTTGATAGGATCACGAACCAGAAACAGAAAAAACCATCTTGTATTGTCGATTATAACTATAACATGGGGCTGGTTGACAAATCAGACATGATGCTGAGCAAACTAAAGAGCATGAGAAAAAATGTTAAGTAGTACAAAAAACTAGCATTCCATTTCTTTGACATTATGTTGCTAAATGCTCATGTGTTATATCTTACGAAAACTGGAAAGAAACCTTACTTGGCTGATTTCCAGTCAGCAGTAATAAGACAAATCTTACTGACCATGCAACTTCAGGACGAAACATTGAAAAAGATAAAGACAATTTTAGAACAAACGACAACGAAGCAAAACAGATTCACAGAGGTTACGAGATCTATCAAAACAGAATTTACCGAAAAAGGCCGATAGGTCGAAGATGGGTGATACCAAAAGCTATCATTTGGAAAATAATCAAAGGAAGTCATGATGACATGGGTCTGAAAACGAGGAGTGGAGAAAACACTAGATCTGAAGCGTTATTTTTGGTTTACAAAAATGCGAAAACGAGTCACGACTTATATTAAATCTTGTGTTGAGTGTGCATATTACAAAATATCTTGAAGGAAAGAAATTGATTTATACAACATAGAACGAATTCCTATCCCTTTTAATACAGTAAGCGACGAAATACTCATTTTTTGGTTGGTATGGATAATTTCACCAAGTACGTCTTTATCCGAGCAGTGAAGAGTTCGAAACCAACTATTGAGATATTACGAGAGATAACTGGTATATCTCAGGTAGGGCTCGGTAAAAGTGCCCTTGGCACTGCCACAGGTCTCCTCACGGGACAATGTAAGGTAAATAAGCACCTTCAAAACATGAAGCTTGCTGACGCCCCTCTCTGATCGATCTCAGAATGAGGACTTTCGGAGAGGAATGGCCAACCACAGATGACATCAGGAATGCACCTCTAGGAGCTGTCCTAGTCTTTGGCAAATGCTTAGGCTGGTTGATGTGACCAGAGTGTCTAATGGGAGGATGCACAAGGGGCCTAATGAGGCCTAAGTGTGGCGTGCGGTTTTGCATGCACTCTAGACCACATCTAGCAAGTTTTCACCGAATGGTTCTCTCACTGACATCAACAACATGCACCATTTGAAGACGACGCCGAGCTTCTACAGCTGTCGTTCTACGATAACTTAGAACAATAAAACGGTCATCAGCTACTATTGTCAATCGTCTTGTTTTCACAGGCATTCGCTTTAAAACACTGCATCTTCGTTAGTAACAGAGATAATAGAGTGAATAAAAAAACAAGATGTTCAGAAAAGATTGGGCTATCATTTAATTCCAGTTAACACCATCTGCTGTAGCAGCTGCACCCTACAGGGTTCTTGCAGCCCGTATATGCTCAAAATAAAATCTGAATGAAAATGTCTATCACAGGATTATTACCGGAGAATCAACCTTTCGATCAAAAAAGAATCATCAAAATAGATTAGAAAGTCAGCTTTGAAGTTTTAGCTAATTTATAGTGGAGGGTTTTTTTTGCCGGTCAGTTTACATACAACTGCTATATTTGGATGTCCGACAAGACTAATTACTGATCGAGGAACAGCGTTTACGTCACAAGATTTTGAAGATTTTTATAAAGAAATCAACACATAAAGAACGCCATAGCTACACCTAGAGCAAATGGACAGGTGGAAAGATTTAACCAAACGATCATGACAGCGATGAAAACAATGCATCATGATAATGAACGGGCTTGGGACACAAAATTGAGAGAAATTCAGTTTGCATTAAATAATCAAACGAATAAAACTACAAAGAAGACCCCGCATGAGTTACTGTTTGGTTTTCAACCGAGAAACATTCTACAGAATTATGTTATTATGGCCTTAGGCCCACTTTTACCATGTGTTACTCGAGTGAGTCAGTACTCAGTACGCTGCGATACTTCGAGTTAAGTAGCCGCATTTTTATCGTCAGTTTTAGCTGCATACTTGACAAAAATATCATGATTAAAAGACCAAGAACTTACTATTTTAATAAAGAGTGGGAAGGACAGTTCTTTTTTATTGAGTTTAGCGGAAAAAGTATTTGTTTATTATGCAACGCATAAAAAAAGTAACATTGAAAGATACTTCAATACCCTGCATGTGTCGTGTAACAGTAGTTTTCCCCCAAATACTGAAATCCGGAAGAAACGTGTCGGCGAATTGAAGACAAATTTAACAAAACAACAAAGTGTTTCCACCAGACTAGTTCAAATTTCGAAAAGTGCTACTATTGCATCTTTGAAGGTTTCTCATTTGTTGGCTAAGAAGGAAAAGCCTTTTGTAGATGGGTAAATAATAAAGGAATCCTTCTTATTAGCTGCTGATTCTGTCTTTCAGAATTTTATAAATAAAACTGTAAATATTGAAGCGATACCATTGTCAGCCAGAACAGTGTCGAGAAGAATCGAAGTTATCGCTACTGATATGAAATCGGAGTTGGAAAGTGATATTAAAAAGTGCAAGTTTTTTTCTTTTCAACTTAACGAGTCTACCGACATTTCCAACACTGCCAAGCTATGTGTTATTATTAAAATGGTATTTTATGATTTTACCACAAAGGGGGAATTTTTAAAATTGTTGCCGCTGAAGGGTCGCACACAAGATAAAGATATTTACGATGCATTTATAAACTTTGCTGAAGAAAGTCAGTTATCATTAAAAAAGTTAGCTGCCATAGTGATTGATGGTGCGCCTACAATGATAGCTAATAAAAATGGCTTCGTTGCACTTTGTATGGCAAATGATGTGTTTCCTCAATTCACCACTGCATCATCCACCAAGAGGCGTTGTGTGCCAAAAGTATTCGTTTTGGACACGTCATGAAAATTGTCGTAAAGATAATCAACTCTATTGGGGCTGCGGCAATGCAACACCGTTTATTTCGGCAGCTTTTGCAAGATGAAGATGCTGAGTACGCGGACTTGATATTGCATACAGAAGTTCGATGGCTGAGCAGAAGCAAAGTACGCTTTCTTAGTTTGATAAACGAAATCAAACAGTTCTTGTCAACGAGAAACGACGATTATCCACAGCTGAGTGATCCCTCATGGCTTGCAGATTTGGGGTTTCTCACTGAATGAATCGTCATGTTGCGAAAATGGTTGGATCGGTGAATACATTCAAAGCCAAATTAACACTATGGAAATCCCATTTACCGAGAAATTCAATTTCACACTTCCCAAACTTAAATAAAATGTTCGATCACATGAATGTATGTGAAAAAAATATTAATACCAGTTCGTTTGCCCCACAATTAAATACACTTTTGGACGAATTTAATTCTCGTTTCCAACAATTTAAGAACCTTGAACCTATCTTGGAGTTCATAATTAACCCATTCGCAGAAGGTGATGTTTCGGAGAAGATCAAAAACTATTTTGACTTAAGAACGACTTGATCATACATGAGGAACGAAAACTTTTGGAATATTGTTGATGGAAATAAATATCCCATTTTAAGAGCATTATCTCTTAAGATACCCGCATATAGTGCTTTAACATACGCATGCGAATCCATAATTTCAACAATGAAGCACTTGAAATCAAAATATAGAAGCAGAATGGCAAATATCAATTTGGACCATTGATTGAGGACAGGTACGTCAAATTATGAGCCAGATTTCAACAAGATGTCGGAAGAAATGCAAGGTCAAGGATCACACTAACTGTTGAAATAACTGGCAACTGCTACTAACTTATGTATTATCTATACCTCATGTAGGTGCCTAATAATAATAATAATAATAATAATAATAATAATAATATTTATTGATCACAATGTACTACACTTCAGAATAAACAACTAAAAATGGTTTCCAATAAACAACTGATCAATCTTATGGTGAGATTCAATATATATTGTTCTTCCACCTCACCATAAAGTATATAAAGAGAAAAAAAAACAGTATAGCGTGTTAAATATAAAAAAAAAGAATCGCGACAACGGTATAAAGCTATAAACAAAACAAGAGTTTTAACTGCTAAGTTTTAACATATAATACTTAGGTGAATACTACCAAAGGCCACAACAAGTCGTTATCGATACCATGTCAGTACTCAAAAGGGTTCCCCAGAAATTAAGAACAAATTTAGGTAGAACAAAAAGATTACAAAAACATTCAAACGCAAAAGTAAGATCTGTGACTATTAAGAGATTTACAGGTATTGCGAACACTGCTGCCCAAACAGAAAATCAGCATAGCGCCTCCTGGCGGTGGCGGCAGACCCACACTCTGTCAATGCGCAACCAGAAGGGAGCTCATTAATTACTTTGCATATCTGGTATGAGAAGCATTTTTTAAAACTCATAGTGTGGAATATTGGTGGAGATAGCCTTCCCTTAAACCTCACATTAACCGAGTGCACGTCACCCCGAAAAGACAACTTTTTTACAAGATACGCTGGTTTATGTAGAGTGAGTAATTTATGGTAAAAACCTACAGCATGCAACATTCTTCTCCCCTGCATGTTCAACCACTTTAAAACCGGCAGCTTACAGCTGACGTGATCTCTGCGTTTCAACCCAAAAATTAGTCTGATACAGGTGTTTTGTACCTTTTGAATTTTCCTCTTCAATGCATAGGACAGAAAGGGTGCATACAATGCATCGCCATAATTAAACATTGATAGTACTAAACTTTCGCATAGGCGCACTTTTGCACTATGATTAACAAAGGCTCTGTTAGTATAAATAATTCTAAGGCTACTGTAAGCTCTTTGAACGCATTTATTGACGTGTTCATTAAAAGTAAGGCCCTCATCGATTAAAATGCCTAAGTTTTTTACTGTTTTTTGAATAGGTAGTAATTCGTTATTTACACAAATTTGTAAGTCATTAATGACTTTTTGTTTTTGTTTCTGAGGACCAAACATAATAACGTTTGATTTTTTCTGATTAATTTTAAGTCCATGTCGGCTTGAGGTGATACGCAAATATTCTAGATCACTATTAATTCGCACACAAGCCTGTTTTATATCATGAGCCGGAAAAGAATAGTATATTTGCGTGTCGTCGGCGTAAAAATGGGTCTTGCAATGCATAACCCCTTGGTTAAAGTTTGATGTATATAAAGCATAAAGCAAAGGCGAGAGTATAGAACCCTGAGGAACGCCCGAACTAGTGTATTGATATTCAGATTGTTCATCACCCATAAATACGGCTTGTTGTCTATGTGTTAGAAAATCATATAATAAGCGGGTAGACTTATCATCAAAACCGGAATACCTCAAAATTGATGCCATTGTCTCATGATTGACCGTATCGAACGCCTTTGAATAATCTAGTAGGCAAAGAACTGTTAAATTACCTCTATCGGTTTCGCGAATTATATCATCAATGATATGTATCAATGCTGTCGTGCAACTGTAACCCCGTCTGAAACCCGATTGGTTCTGTGGTAGTATGTCATTCTCCTCCACAAAGGAGACCATTTGTTCATAAAGAATTTTTTCTGCAACCTTTGCTAATACTGGCAGAATACTAATGGGTCTCAGGTCGCTAAGTACCGTAGGTTTAGAGATTTTGGAAAGCGGTTTTATTACGGCTTTCTTCCATGTCATTGGAAAAACACATGTTTCGATGCACGCATTTATAGTATCGCGAATATAAGGTAATATATGTGGACAGCACAATTTTAAGCATTTCATATTGAGACGATCATGACCAAGCGCATTGCTCTTAATTGAATTAATTGCACGCTCCACATCCATATCCTCCACCACGCGAAAGCCAAAAGACAAGTTATTCCGTTTGTTGGAATTATAAAAGTTGACCAATTCTAAGTCAGGAACACCTCCCCCCGATACCGCTGCAATAAAGTAATTATTGATATCATTGGGTGACCCAAGGTGAGGGACATCTTTTTTATCCTTGTCTAACATTTTATTTGATTCAATCATTCAGGAGTAAATTATTTTAGAATGAGCCCTTAGGCTGGATAAGGTTGACGACCGCTGATCTAGAGGATAGTTGCCATGGTTACGGCGGTTTTAAGCGCTCTCATTGGCTAAGAGCTGGATTTATCTATCGGATAAATATATCAAGAGGTGAGAAAAGTGGGCCTTAGGAGAAGATAATAGATTAGAAGACGATCAGTTATTTAAAGTACGAGAAATACAAAACATCGAAAAGATGCAGTAGATTCAAAAAGATATAAGAAACCACGAAGATATCAAGAAGGCGATCTAGCACTGATAAAACGCGAAGCTTCAGCTACAGGGCAATCACGAAAGATGATGCCACTCTACAAAGGACCCTACCTAGTTAATGAAGTGACGCAGCGTACTCAAAGGAAGTTTAACTCAATATTTGCAACAAACCTGATGAAACCTTGGTGTCAACTTCCGGAGGATTTTAAAGAGCGACGATTCAAACTGTAGCGAGGCCGAATGTAGTGCCATCTATTAGTAAAATAATAAAATGGAAAAAAAGAAATCAATATAACGGGCGCGAAAGGGTTATGTTATGTTATAAGAGGTTATGTCGAGTTGTAGGTGTGAAATAAAGAACTTTAATTAAATTACCATCAATTTTTGTTGAATCATCATCAATTTTCTTTGATTCCACAATTTTCGTCGAATCATCACCAATAATAGTTGATACCTCATCATTACTTCTCGTCGTTTCTTCATCTTGATCAAAAAATTGAGTACTTTTAATTGGTGATGTTAAATCTTCATCAACAATTCGTTTATTAATAAGAATATCATTATTCAAATTAACCGAATTAAAAACTTGTTGATTAGCACTCAAATCTTGGTCTAAATCGCCACTTTTAACCGTTTTTGCATCAATATCTTTAACTTCATTTTGTATATTCGTTTTATTATCATCAACAATTTTAGTTTGATTATAAATTTGAATACTTTCGCTCTTTTTTAAGCTCTCAACGCTGTGCTCCCACCGAGTTTTGTTGTTATTTTTATCGTTAAACTCGTTTACATCAACGTTTTTCATCTCTTCCATTCGAAATTGATCTTTTCCTTCAACGTCGTCTAAAAACGGATTTTTAGGTGCTTCTCTTCCGTGGTTTAGGTAATAAATTCTTCTATCCTCTTCCATTTCTCCCGCGATAATCTTGCTTTTTTCATCGATCTCTTTTAAAACGTCTTCTTGAATCTGCTTAAATCGCGAATCGCTTTCTGGTGTTGTTAAATCGTAAGTAAAATTTCTTTCGTAATCTCGTGTTCTGCTCGCTTGCTCTTTTGCGTAATCATCGGAAAAAACGTTATTTTCGATTTGAAAATCCGCCAAAATATCTAAAGATCTCCCACCTTTCATGTCAATAGATCGAGAATCATCGTTTTTAAACTTTTCGTTTGGAATTTCTGTCGATGTCGTCCCCGAATAGAGATTGTAATCGTGTATTTCGGGTTTTGAAGTTGTTCTTGTACGATTTATTGTTGAAGTCGTTATTGTTGTATTTATATTTGTTGTTGAATTTGTTAACGACCATGTTGAAGAAATTAAGAGGACCAATCCTACAAAAATAAATAAACATTAATATCTAAAAGTAAGAAATGCTCTTTAAACTTAAGAATTGAAACCCAACAAAAAGAGAAATCCGGTCAATGAGCGCGTTTGCGGCCTCGCTTTGAGTTTTAATATGACTCATCTCAATGGCACTGCGGATTATTTTAAACAAAACAATCTTTTTTATCTTAATGAACCTCGTAAAATTATTGCGGCTTTATTTTCTGTTTAAAGTTTGTATTTTTTTTTTTAAGTTATTACGTTACTTAAATGTTTAATGGAGTCGTTGAGAAAGAGTTTCACTTTTCAAATTGGCGGTTAGTAACCGTTAGTTGTGGAACTGTGAGTCATGACGGGCAACTTTCAACGATTCGTTTGACGACCGACGGGGATCTTGATGGAAGAAATCCAAGAAACCGTGAAGAAAACGGTGGTCTTGTTCTTTGAGCCTTCCTTAAAAGACATCAAACCGTGACCTAACTTAAAAGTCTTATTAAAATGTTATTTTTCCACTCTTTTTTTTGCATTAGTCATAATAGATTTCAACAGATGGCGCTTTATTTAGATTGAGATAAATTTATTTTAAAAATTCTCCGGATGATTTTTAAAGAAGTCAAAAGGTCAATTGTCTCTGATGTGGTAGACTCAATTGACTACTTAAAAATTGGCATAAATACTTTACGAGGTATAATTGGGTTAACTTGACAATGAAAGATGATTTATTTAATCGATTGATTTTATCTTACCTAAAAATAGTCGGTTAATCAAAACCATACTAGCATTATCCCGATCAACATTGAGTTGGTATCTGCAAAAAAAGAAAATAAAACAATAAAAAATCGGTTCGTTTAAAGTTTGTTTTTATCTAAATTCCTTTTTATTGTTAATAGACGTTTAAAAAAAACAATACCTTGTTAAGTTGTTAATTAAGTTATTAAAAACAAAAATAAATAACAAACGTAATAATACGTAGTTTAGGGTTTTATAACGTTGTATAACGTAGTTGGGTCAAGTAATTTTCTCCACTATGATCCAATCAGTGATAACAATCGTTTTAAATTTGCATTTGTATGATCCCAATTGGTCTTTGCCAATTAAGAAATTGTTGGACGACCTTCACTTAAAATAAAAGTAAGAAAAAAATCATAAACAACAATGATACCTACAGTAAAACCTCGATATAATGGATTATAATACTTTAAAGTGTTTCAAAATGACTCAAATTAATTTCAATTATTTCACCTACATTAAATACCCAACCTCGATTATTCCCTAGCTTTTTTTGAGATTGTTCGAAATCATTAAAAGCTTCCAGGTTGTTTAAAATTGGTTAATACTTATTGAAATCTTGTTTAAACGATTAAGAACAAGTTTATAAGCAACCTAGGTTGCTCAAAATGACTGAAAACTGCACCCATAAGTGAACAAAATTGATTTATAAAGTTGCAAAATTGTTCAGAATTATTCCAAATTGAATGGTATCTTTTGGAAATTTGTCTAAATAATTAATAACAGGTTTACAGCCAATCTATGTTGTTCGAAATCATTAAAAACCGATTGGGCATCGTTTAATACTTGTCTAAATGATTAGGAACTAGTTTTTAAACAATACATGTGCTCAAAATTACTGAAATCTAGATGATAGTCATTAAAAATTTGTCTAAATATATAAGGACTGGTTTATAGCAAGTCCAAATTGCTCAAAATGACTGAAAACTGCACCAACATTGTCCAAAATTAGGTTACAAGGTAACAAAATTGTCCAAAATGATTGGAAATGGGTTTATAGCTATTTCATATTATTCAAAATCATTGAAAACCGATTGAAAACGAAAGAATTGTTGGTGAAAACTGCACCAACATTGTCAGATGGGTTTTTAAGGAAGTAAAATTGTAAAAAATGATTAGAAATGGGTTTATAGCTATCTCATGTTGTTCAAAATCATTGAAAACTGATTTAGTATCGTTTAATACTTGTCTAAATATATAAGGACCAATTCATAGCAAGTCGAAGCTACTCAAAATGACTGAAAACTACACCAACATTGTCCAAAATTGGGTTATAAGGTAGCAAAATAGTCCAAAATTATAGGAAATGGGTTGGGTTGGGTTGATAATCGTTATTGATAATCGATGGGGTATCGTTTAATACTTGTCTAAATCATTAACAACAAGTTTGTAAACAACCCATATTGCTCAAAATGACTGAAAACTAGTCGATAGTAATTGAAAACTTGTTTAAATATACAGGGTGATTCCCAACCTATACGCATAAACATGGGGATTTACTCCTCACGACGAATAATGACTAATAGGCGAAAAAATTTGTAGTAAAAGATTTTCTATTTCATAGATATCAGTAATATTTACTTTCAAATCAAAAATACATAGAAAATTTTAATATAACACCACAGCAAGTGTTCGAAGTTATTTTCTATCAATTGGGCTCCCCGCATCCACGATCTCCCACTAAGGCGGCCTAAACCAGGGTGTTGGCGGATTATCTAGGAAGCAGCATGTATCTGATTTTGCAAAAATTGCTCAGTATTAACTTCCGTGGCGTACACTATGCTTTTTAAGTGAAACGAATAGCAAAAATCAAGAGGATTGAGGCAAGGCGATCATGGTGGCCAAGCCATTTGACCATCTAGACCTATCCATCTTCTAAGAAACACATTAGTTAGATGTCGCCGATTATATCGAATATCTAGGAAACTAAAAAACTTTTACTACAATATTTTTCATCTATTTGTCCTGAGAAATAGATCCCTCAGTTTATGCGTATAGGTTGAGAATCACCCTGTATATTTAGGCTTTGTAGCGGAAACGCTCGGCAAGCAGCAAGAGAATACCTTCGTAGGTTTCCAAACAGACATCAACCTGCCCATACAGTGTTTAGTGCATCATTTCGCAGACTGAGAGAAACAGGTAACCCCGCTACACTACAATCCGTTCGTCCCCATGATGTGAATGTACAAAATGAAGAACGTGTTATTGATTTAGTACTTGACGACCCTTCAATTAGTACTCGGCGTATAGCGAGCATGTTACAAATACCCCAAAGTTTTGCATGGCGTGTATTGTACAGTCGAGAAATGTTACATCCGTTTCATCGCCAAAATGTTCAAGCATTACATCCTGGAGATACTGAGCAACGCTTAGCATTTTGCCACTGGATTATTCAGCAACATGCTCAAAATAATAACTTCATTTCCCAAGTTCTGTGGTCTGATGAAGCGTGTTTCACTAGGGACGGCATAAATAATTATCATAAGGAACATGTGTGGTCCTTGCAAAATCCACAGGCAATTAGACCAGGAAGATTTCAGCAACGGTTTAGTGTAAACGTTTGGGGTGGCATTTTTAACAATTCTTTGCTACCTGTATGGGTGATAAATGAACGCTTAAATGCAAATATGTACAGAAATTTCTTGGGACATAACCTTTTCGATTTTATCGACGACGTACCACTTAACATCGTTCAAAATATGTGGTATCAGCACGATGGTGCACCACCACATCGAGGAAGAGAAGTCATCGCTTGGTTACATGAACATTTTCCAAACAAATGGATTGGCAATGGAGGTCCAGTAGTCTGGCCACCACGATCCCCAGATCTAAATCCGCTGGATTATTATTTCTGGGGACACATGAAGCAGCTTGTGTACCATGTAGAAATTACTACCCGTCAGCAACTACTGGACAGAATTCAAGATGCAGCTAATAGCATACGGAATGATCCAAATATCATACGTCGTGTGATAGAATCTTTACTTCGTCGATGTGAGGCGTGCATTCAAGCTGAAGGCGGACATTTCGAACAATTTTTGTAATTTTTAAACTTATTTTTTATGTTACATTTTCATTTGCCTATTAAACTGTGTAAAATTTTCAAAGGCTTGTAACTCTTTAACCAAAATGAATCGGACCCATATTCATATAACATTTTTTCCTTAGAATAGCATCACCTTTCATCTGCCAAACTTTGTCACAGAGCTAATGAATCATCCTGTATAAGACTAATTCATAGCAAGTCGAAGTTACTCAAAATGACTAAAAACTGCACTAATATTGTCCAAAATTGGTTTATAAGGTAGCAATCAATTCGAACAATATTTGTGATTTTTTTTTTGTTTTTCTTTTTCTTTGTGAAATAAAATTATTACTTGTTCAATTTTAATAACGGATTTCAGCCAATGAAATAGCATTTAATGTCTGTTACCAGTTTTACGCGTTATTATTTATTTTTTCCATGGCACACTACATTATAGCGCAAGTGACTTTATGAGAATGTTCGGAAAGTGTTTTAATTTTTCTCTCTGCTATATATCAATGGATTTAAAAAAAAATCTCTATCCAATAACGTGAAAAAAAAAACATACCGACCAATTTGAATATCAAAAATTTACATCGCTTGAAATTGAAGATGGCTTGGAAAACTAGTTGATTGCCATTGAAGACTTGTCTAAATATACAGGGGGTTTTCCAAAAGTAACGGATGAATTCGGTAAAACTATTAAAAACAATTTTTGGCATAATCGCTGAGACGGGTCTAAAGATTTAATTTTTTTGCCATTGTTTGATATAGGTTTTAAATATTTTCCGCCATTTTTAAATGAGTAACGACGTCATCGATATATTTTTCAAATAACAATGCCCCATTTTTATTACGGAACATGAAAGAAGACTTCTTTTTAATCTAGTAGAATTAATATTAATATTGGTTACATAATCAAATTTTCGAGAAAAATTATGTTAAACTTTCATTATTTTCCATTCATTTGAGATAGAAAAATAGCAGTAGCCATTAATCATTGTCTTAATAAAATATCTGAAGCAACTGATTGAAGCAGAACTACTGAAAACTGCACCAACATTGTTCAAAATTGTTTTATAAGGTAGCAAAATTGTCCAGAATGATTGGAAATGGATTCATAGCTATTTCATGTTCAAAATCATTGAAAACCGATTGGCTATCGTTTAATACTTGTCTAAATGATTAACAAATCCAAATTCCTCAAAAAACGCACTTCTAAACCCGAATGTTTTTAGTGTTAATTCTAGTGCTGGTCTTAGTTCTAGTTTTAGTTGTTATTCAGCGTTAGATTGTTGTATACTTTTATTGAACTAAATCTAGAACCAACACTAGACCGAGAACTACAAACATTCGGATTTAGCACGTCTCTGAAGATGGCTAAATCCGAACGATTCTAGTTCTAGGTCTTATGTTAGTTCTAGTGATAGTGCCAGTGTAAAACTAGAACTAACACTAGACCTACAACTAGAAACATTCGGGTTTAGCCGTCTTAAGAGACGTACGGCTAAACCCGAATGTGTTTGGTTCTAGATCTAGTGTTAGTCCTAGTTTTAATCCAATGAAAAATATACAGCAATTTAAGCATGAATAACAACTAAAACCAGAACTAACACTAGATCTAGAACTAGAAACATTCGGGTTTAGCCATCTTGAAAGATGTGCGGCTAAACCCGAGTGTTTCTAGGTCTAGGTCGACTTCTGTGTTAGTTATAGTGACAGTGCAAAGTAGCGTTGGTTAGCACTAGATAGCGCTAAATTGTATATTATTATTCAGCTAAAACTAGAACTAACACTAGACCTAGATCTAGAAATATTCGAAACTTTCTAGTTCTAGGTCTAGTGTTAGTTCTAGTTTTAATTCTTATTCGGCGCTAGATTGTTGTACATTTTTATTGAACTAAAAATAGCACTAACACCTACATCCAGATAGAACTAGATCTTTGATTTATACATCGTATAGACAACTCGGGGAATACCCCAAGTTTATGAACTTAGAATAGAGCAAC